TAAATTTGTTGTCGTTCGTCAAGGCCCGTCTATTCTTGCTCACTTTTCTGTCACACAGTGATACTGACCCACAAATTCGTGGTTTACTGCACGATTGTTCAGTGACATCTGGTGGAGTAAAATTCCCGCCTGTTAATTTGACAGAAGAAGGTGATTCCGTTTTCTGTAAAAGTCGTATGCTTCGATTTGGAGTAAGGGAACCTGTTCGCAAGGTACTTGTGTCTCTCCGTGAAGCAGGGATTATTGTCCCAGTACAAAGTGCACGATCGACCACTCCTAGTGTCACATCGTTAAAGCTGGGTGGACAAACACCGAGAATATGCAGCGATTACCACATTACCCTTAATACGCAGCTATTACAGCGTAGTTGTGCCACAGAAGAACCTGCTTCCATTCTCTCTCATCTGCATCGATCCAAGATTTTTTCGAAGCTAGACTTAAAAGATGCATATTTGCAGATACCACTCACTGATGGTACTAGTGATCTGACCACCATCAACACACCTTTTGGGTCGTACCAGTATAGATTTTTCCCTTCGGTCTTAACGTGTCGCCAGCCATATTCCAAGACGTGATCAACTCCATTGTGAAACCCTTGGAGGGTGGTGTGGTCTATCAACACGATATGTGTGTGCATGCTGCCGATAAACACATGAGTCTCGATTGCTTGCACCTTTAACTCGCTTCAAGGAAGCTAATGTGAACATCAACTCAAAGAAGTGCCTAAATGGTGTCCAAGAGATCAGTTGCCTTGCTTATCATTTTCCATCTGAAGGATTCAATCCAGATCCTGATCGGATATAACCATTGGATGATGTAAAGTCGCCCACCAATCTTCATGAGCCTCGATCACTGATGGAATCCTTACAGTATTATTTCAAATTCATTCCTACTTTTGCATCCATCGTTGATTCTTTATTCAATCTGTTGAACGACAAGTTTTATTTGGCTAGACAAAGGTGTACATGTTCTTCGGAAGCTTTTGAAAATGCTTACATCTAGTGGTGTTCTTCGAACATTCTTGCCGAAACTACCAACCGTGCATTTCACAGATGTCTTAGCAACCGGTATAGGTGCTGTGTTAGAGCAAGATGTTCATCCTGTTCTGTGTATCTCTCATCGAATCAGCAATGCTGAAAAGTGCTATGCTCAGACTCATCGAGAAGTTTTAGCTGTATACTGGGCAGTCACTAGACACTAGTCACTAGACATCACAAATATTTGTTTGGTCACAGATTAACTATTGTGACAAAGCATGAAGCTCTAAAGTACATTTACAACCCTGCCAGTTCTTTAGCTAAATCTTCAACAGCTATGGTTCAAAGGTGCAGTGTTGCTCTTAGCGCGTACAACTATGTGGTTGAGCATATAAGTGCAAAGTTCATTCCTCACGTCCTACTTATCGCGAAATGCAACGGTATGCGAAGTCGATTCTGAGATGAGTTGTTTCGCTTCCAATCTCTCGTTCAGCCTTAATCAAGGAGGCTAGAAAATATTACGGGTCATAGCTTTCTGCTCTCAAACGAGAATGCTCTGTTTCTCTAAAACGAGTTTCCATAATTTTATGTGCGTCGTGACGAGTTGTGTGTTACACCTGATGGATTACAGTGTGTGAATGACCGTGTCGTTATTCCGCCGACTTTGAGATCAGCTGTTCTAACGGAGTTACATTCTGGTCATCTTGGTGTTGAAAGATGAAGTGCTTAGCTCGATGCTTGTGCTGGTGGTCGGAATTAAATGCAGATATTCGACGAACTGATTCTGATTGCCCGAACTCTAAGCACAAAATTCTACAGCATCCGCCCAAGTGGACACCATAGCCGATGACATGCGAGCCTTGGCAAAGGATACATACGGATTACTGTGGACCATTTCTACAGAAGTACTATGCACTTGTGGTCGTGGATTCGTATTCAAAGTGACCGGAACTATTCCTGACCGATGAACCAAGTGCTGATTTTGCTGTCCGCGCCTTGAGAAAAGTGCGTAGTAGGGAAGTAGTCCCGTTAGCTGTTGTAAGTGACAATGGCCCACACTTTTCAGGTTCAGTTGTTACCAATTGGCTGCACAGTCTTGGGTGTCGTCACCTTTTTACTGCTCCAAGACATCCATGCTCTAATGGCCTAGCTGAAATGTTTGCCGCAACTTTAAAACACTTTGTTACTTCCTGTGCTCCTACTTCATTTTATGAACCTGATCGACGTGTTGATAATTTATTCACTACCGTAACTGTGTGCATTCCAGAAGTGGAGATACACCCGCTAAACTATGTAAATCCAGACCATTGAGGTCGAACAGGATTGGTTTGGGAACCGCTGAGGTGTCTTATTTTAAAAGGCAGTGATTTACATCCTTCATCCGGAATCATGGTCAACAAGTTTGGAAGTTGTATGGTTAAAATTGTAGATCTCGATGACTGCTCTGTATATAAACTGCATGTTGATCAGGTACGATACAAGGATTCCGGTCAGTTGTCATCTGATTCTGTGTGCATTGAAAATACAAATGACAATTCAGTTTCAGATTCTCATGAGAGTTCTGAGCAGAGTCAGCTCTCAAGAAGATCTGTCAGATTACAACATAAATCCCAACCGAATTACAGGCACCTGGAGTTGTATTCAAGCTGCGGAGGGTGTGGGGATTGTACACACAATTGATTTAGAATATATACCCGTGAAATTCGAATTTCAACCCGGGAGTCCTTACTACAAGTCGGGACTAGCTTGGTGGGAGACTAATACTATTTCGATCCCGAACCTACCATAATACCATTGTTTTGCGCGTACCAGCTTTGCTGAACGCACGCAAGCGCGCTTACAACAGCGATTGCAGACACAGCTATGTATTAAGTTCGACTCCGGAAACCACAGAGTTGCTGGAAACGCTTACTAGAACAGTGGAGTTTGAGTTCACTCCAGCAGGGATATTGTTACCAGGGTAAACATTGAATAAAGACCGATTAACTAACTACCATTGGTAAGTTGGTATAAGCGTCGGTAATTGGATTACCTGATGGGTATGTGGTGGAATACGGATACAATCGTATGGGATGATTACTTAGTTGGAGGCAAAATGCACTCTGCACAACCAGTGGAACTAATTGTGTTTCAAAAGGAAAACGAATCCGGTGCTCACTCCCAACATAAGTCATCCAACACAATCAGTAATATCATACGCCGTCTAATTGGACACTGGCTTTATCATAGACCGTTGCCCCGTTGCGGGCGCCCATAACCCAGCGTGATCTCGTCAGCTGCTCACATTTGTCGCCAGTGTTAAAATGTTACTAATCATGGTTATGATCTGGTTTCGTCTCGGATTCTCCGCACCACCACACAACGTACCCCTCTGTTATGCAATATTCAAGCGCACATTTAACCATGTTTACACAGAAAACGCCGAAAAATTGAACCGGCTTGCTGTAAAGCGGCGTAGCATAGAGATAACTGTGACTACAAAAAACTCACGTTTGGAGTTTATAATGGAAGTCGACAATATCAATGCGCTGCTGTCGCCGTAGGCTGTCTCACGGTAACGAGTTTAACAGAAATAGTGTAGGCATTCTACGAACGCACCACAGTATGCCGGCCATGCGTGCACGTAACGACGTTTGGAAAACAAAATACTTATGGCCGCCATTCCAGGTGCGTGATTCGTATACCCGAGATTTTGCTGTGGAAACGCATTCGATGGGCTAACATTTTCGTCCTCTTAAGCATGTGCTCAAATACGTGATAGTCTGCATTCTATGGTTATTGTTGTCTATAGTCCAAAAGGACACGGAAAGGTCACATTAACGTAGTGTCTAAGTTTGGATCCATTCACATGCTTCACGAATTTCTAGGAATTCTTGGGGTACCAAGTGGACTGGAATTCAGTCGTCACTTCTCAGGTGAGACCTCAAATAATAAATATTCGTGCATTACTTCTTTTAACAAAAAACTTGTTGACACATTAACAGTACTGCCGTCAATATCGACTTTTGCGATGAATCTCATAATCGTTTACCAGATTCTGAAGAACACAAACCACATTTGCCGCCCGCTACTGGAATTGAACCATCCATCTTAACCATCCTCTGAAACTAACAATACAGGATAGCCGGCTTGAATGTCATAGAAATTTCTTTTCTCCCCGCGTATGCCAATCTTGGTCCCCTTCCCTAATTATGTCGTCTTTGCTCCCCACCTGGCGATAATTAAAATACGAGTTAACGATGCGTTGTCTCATTTGCGCTTCATTTTATGACTTGTTAGTCAGGGGCTACAAAACGTAATCAAACGGTGTCTTATCAAACTCCTAAGCATGGAGTTTATGGATCTATACTTTTAATACTCAAAAATCTCTGTGATTTCATCAAAACGCCTTTCGAGTTGTCATGCAATATAAGTTTCGCAATAATTTCCATCCCACAGGACTTGTTAAGCATTGATTTTTTTTACCCGTAATACACCATTGTTCCACGGTTCCATTACTACACTAACCAGCACTGCAAAAGGTTCTCAAGTTTCTTGTAGACAAGTGCCAGTCCAAGAACGCGAAATTTAGGCGGTCATTTTGTGCTTTCCCAGCGTACTCATGAAGGGCTTTCAAGCTGGTGTGAAGAAGCGCGTCCTACGCTTCCATGCGTAATATACCAAACACAGGTGACCAAGGGTCGTTTTTCAGTCTCTAGCGCAGTTCATCACTCGCCAGTTTCACGGAATGCAGATCATTGAAACCACCACATCTGCGTTGTATGCAACTCAGCTTGTTTGCATGAAATAATTAGGTAATCACTTTATCAAATCTTGCAGCAGGTGTCCACACTCGATTCTGTCAGTTTCGATAGCCCTGGGACCGAATCAGATGAAACTAATAGGTTTACGATGCAACTGAATATGTGATGCAAACAAGCAAGGGCGCTGCATGTGGGAACCGTGCTTGTCGAAAACTAGAAGTACAGTAAAGCTGGGATTATGGTAAACGAAAGGTGAACTTCATGATGGGATTTCACTTACTTGTGGCGTCGATTGATCGGTGAGTGGGAGAGCTGTTGAATAAAAAAAGAAGACATCGGACATTCTCTTAAACATGAGAGAAAAACACGGAAGTAAGCGTTAAGGTGTTAAGCACGGTTAATGCACGGATGTGTCATTGCTGCAGTCATTTTCGATTTGAATGCCATGCCTATGCGGTCTAGTTAAGCGGTCACTTCAATGCGAATCCTGGTTCACATTGAGATTGCGCGTTGCAGTCCATTCACACAACGGTTACTTCAAAACGACCCTCCAATTAGTTATTCACCGTTGTGCGAAGCTTTGCTCATCGTGACCCGGTAGTCAAACGAGTAGAGGTTTCGACTACTATTCCAAGAATCACGAATTTGTGACCTCCTATCTACATCTGGTGAGATCAAATGGGATCAGAACATGTCATGTTTTGCAATGTTTTCGGGCGGGCAACACTCAATTTCCATCTGCTTCGGCTACGGTCCCAGTGATCGCATTGGCCAGGGTTCACTTCAATATGAATCACGGTCTACATTGACATTGCGTGTCGCAGTCCAAGCACACAACGAGAAGTTCAAAATTACCCTCCAGTCATTAACTGTTGTGTCAAATGTTGCCTTCCGTGACCCGGTGGCTAAAGGGGCAGAGGTTTTCAGATAACATCCCAATGGCCAGGGGTTCGAGTGCCTGCTGTCTCTAACTGATGTGATCAATCATGTTCGAGATCGGTTGTGGAGTGTGGTGTCTTTCAGGCGGGTAACACGCAATATCCAGCTGATTAGTAGCGAAAGCAATCTGATTTGATTGGTCAATATGGCATTCACATTCCAAGCCACTTCACATTACATCCCTAACTAGAAAGCTCTAGGTCGATCGCGTCACACAATCGCATGATTCACGTTGACTTCCCATGCCAACTCAATGCAAACACAAAAGATTGCAATGAATAAGTTCGTGAGTAGAGATGGTATCTATCTGGGCCCATTGGCTAAGCAAAGCTAACTGGTATCCTAAATAACAAGTACTGGGGTTAAATTTGATTCCAGCTCATGAAAACACTGACGATTCACGACACCATAAAACAGTGTTCAACCAGGATGGATTCTTGTAAATACCGCGGAACCTAAGGGTGGTTACGCAGCGTCGCAACAGCACATATGCCATCCAAGCCAAACTCCGCTCTTTGGATGATAATGCTTTCTCGTGGAAGACGAACCAATGAGATCTATAAGTTACTAGTGGAAGGCGAACAGTGAGGGACCAGGTGACATTTCTTAGTTGCAGCACACTGAAGACGAAGCCAACTGTGGATGGAATTAGTTCCTAACACACTTTTTTAAAAGTCTTTGGTAACTATCAAATCGCGGCCGCGGTATTGATGCAACCAAAGATAAGCACAACCAAACTGAGCAACAAGTGCTAGGTCCTGATCACGTGGGCTTTGGTGGCAATATAGTGAGACTGTAGGCCCGACCAACGGATATTCATTGTGATAACGAGGTTAAAGAAGCACGCTTGACATTAACGTTGAAGGAAGTAGACAGTCCTCAAAACCAACACCAAAAGTGGAATGCATAAAGTGACTTACGTGTAGCCGCTTTTCGATAGTCTAGTTAGATTGACTCCTAAGCAGTGATCAGGAATGAACTACTCGAAAAACACTACATGACGTGGCAACGATTAGGAGCGGTCGTCAAAATGAGTATTGAGTGCCTCGGATTATACGAGGCCTATCAGAAATATCTAACTGAGAATTAATCCCTTTTTAAAACGGTATGGAAGTTGAGCGATCTGAACTCAACTTTCTCGGAACAAAATAACAATCAATACCAATAGTTTCATATATCAATCGAGGCGGAAGTAGCTTGTGAAACTTAACAGGGGAGTTCAGTTTATTTCCATGCACTGCTTAAAATAAATGGGATCACGGCGGATGAGGTAAAGGGGATATTTTAAGCACTCCCAAAAGGGTCGGATTGCGAGATAGACACCCTGGTGACCTACCCGCCGCAAGAGCTACTCGGATGTCTGTTAAGGGAACAGTTCATGAACATACATTTTTCGGAAAAAGCAGTCAGTTACCGATTTATTTCCTTCCACTATCGCTGTTGTTGACAGTTTTAAGCACGTCATTTCGCTAAGTTCATTGGCTGCATGTGGTCACCTTTTCTGCCCTCGGATCACAGTTCCACTTGACTGCTAACGGTCTTTCCTTTCCTGCGTTGCGTGCCCCATGTTGGCTCCTGTATATATCACTCTTCATTGGTTTCATTCTGCTTTCATCTTTTCGGCAATATGGTTGGCTTGAATGTATTTTAATAGTTGCCCTTCAGCACATTCGCAAAACTATTTGAGCAGACATGATTTAATGCATGCAATTCTTTCACGGCAAGTCTTTGGAATTCTTCTCAAGGTCGTAGGGCGAAGTCATTGGCGATACAACAGTCCCATTCGAAAGCTACGACACAATTTCATATTTGCCATCATCATCCTACACATTAGACAGATGTGATAAACAGCTCATCTGAACGAATATGATGAGGCACCTTCAACTCTGTACAAATCTGGTCTTAATTGTTTAGACGGTTTCTGCCCGGTGTGCTTGTGGCAAAATTAAAGAAGGCCCATTCGGTACAGCTAATGACAATACTCCTAAGGGTGGTCAGAGCGGCTATCACAATATGGTCATTCACATGGCACTTTGGACTATGAATCAACCATCACGTGAGTGCGCGAAGGGGTTACAAGGGAAGCCTGTCATGGAGGATACATAAGGGTTTCACAGGAAACAGGGCCTATGCAGCAGCATATCCAGTGATGCTAAGCACTTAGAGTGTGCTGCTTGCGATCTAAAAAGGTGGAGTCGATGTATCGGCATAGTTACTCTGAGTCTCTGAACGTGGTCAAGCTGAGAACACTTTTACAAGAAGCATGTAGTGAAAACCAGGGATGAGCTAGGAGAATCGGAATATTTCAAGCACCGCAAACAATTGATTGAACTCACGAGGGAGTGCATAAAACAAATTCATGCTACGCTCCGCAGTCTTGCATCAACAGGCGATCAAAATCCCCGTTGCTCGGAGCAAATAAGATCTAACATGGTGGGGAATAAGCATTGTAAATGTACTCTGGTCTCTTTACTCTTCTGCTCACTTGTTCGGGACTACAAGCTTCAGATATAAAGATCATCTGCTGACCAGAATAAATGTTATCAATCAGGGCGTTTTGGTGTTTCTCTTCCCAACACCGACACCCCGTAACCGGTTTCTTCTGCGTTTGGACTCGTCCGGTAGAGTTAGCCTGAGTTTGGAGTGGAACTCGTGGTTTAACTATTAATCACTGACGCCTTGATCACTAGGTCACCGAGATCCGTGAACAACACTTGGTTCATAAGCTAGAAATTCAAGCCGTCAGCCATTAGCCATCAGGCCTCGAGTTCCAATCCCAACTAAGGCTATATTTACCTGATGCGTCCAAACGAGGACAAAACCAGTCACGGGGCGCCAGTGTCGGGGGGGGGGGGGGGGAACAACGACGAAACCCCTCAACTTCGCAGACACTTATGATGTTCGGTATGAGCAAGGTCTGCTTCAAAATGTACCGAGGTTCTCAATGGAGAGTAGGTGCCACAATCCAACTACACAGTGGGCGTTCCAAATCAAACTTTGAAGTGCTATGTATGCCAATATGTTACGGCCTACTTAATGCTATCATTAGAAGCACCTTAGATTTGGAACCGTGTGCATCAATCAGATGATTATATGAGTACCCTAGACTATTTACAGCATTGCCACTTCGTAACTAAGTGCAGCATAGTCGAAGAGTATTACCAAATGTAGGCAACTGAGTCACTTCAATATTCATTAGTGTTTCTGGATTAAGAAAACCGGAATGCATATGCGTAAACTGTGCCTCATCAAGGCTGCAAGCCAATTCGCTACTGACGGCGTACATTTAGCACTCTTCTTCCGGATAGTTGTCTGTTTCAACAGTTTTGCTACTTTACTCAAACCGTGTTTTGTATTCCGAATAATTGTTTAAACAGGGTAATCGACTCATAACGAAAATTACTGTGAGCAGAATATAATACTCGCCTTTAGGTAATGGAACGAGATCTCCACCTAAAGCATGATCAATGTTCACATGAACTAATAAGTTGTACGAATCATTGGTCCGGGATTCATGACATTTTGTTATTTACACGGTGGCGGCATGCTGAGGATTTCTCCTTGAGCAAATGTAAATTAATGCCTTGATTTCGGTTCAACCGAGACCTAAATATGCATAACTCAGCTCAAGTATAGCAGGCACGGAAGGAGGAATTTTCTATTTGAAGTCTACTCTGAGGAACGAAAAGGTGAAGCAAAAGTATGCACTTCCGTCGCGGAATTCTTCTAAGTAACATAAGTGGACAACGGTAAAATTTACCTTTCATCTACAACGGATTTACATGGCGATAAGCCAAATTCAGTAGAGATAACACATACGTGGCTATATGGTATTCTAATTACGTCTCTACTCATCGCTCATGCGCTATAGATAATAGGTTCATTACCTAATGAACGACACTGATCCCGAAGTGATGTATGGTGGGATCCGATCGACTCTAGAAGAACTGACACTAAATATGACTCTCGGTAATTACTACTGTTTCAGGCGGTGGAGCCAGGTCGAAGTGTGTTCAATGAAGTGAACGGTATTCTCAATAGGTGACAGCGTTTCTGTACATAATGTAAGAATATAATGCTCGTTTTGTCAACTTTGACAAAAAGTCATCTTAAAGTTCCCGGATCACCGCAGTAAGCGGTTTCTACAAAGACGTAATAAGTGGGTAAGTATGCATGTACCTAACTTGTTTCGGTTGCAGTCAGTCTACATTTTCACAATTTGGGGCGCGTCTCGATGGAATAAAAGAGCAAGCTGTGTTCAAAAATTTCTTCAGTGGAATGTGGACCTACTTATCTTCGGCCGTGTCACTGAGATAGAGCCGTGTCGGGAATAGCTTTAGCCGGTCCTTGGGACATGGTTCATGATCTTCGTCCACCTGATCGTAGCCAGCGTGCAAATCTGCTTTGTTCATGTTTAAGCATCCGAAATGGTGGATCGTAAACTACTGTGCCAGTGGACACAATTGGTAAACTTATTTCATCAAAATTTCCTTAGTCGGTGGTTTGCACTCACTAAAGGTTTTGTCACTGATTGGTCTACAGCGTGGGAGGGAGGAAACGAAACCAATCGGATTGCGCTCTGGACGCGATCAGTGAGCTTAGTGTGTACTCGAACAGACTAGAGCGACACGTGTCAGATGTAACGCAGAGAGCACCTGCCAGCCTGCGAGTCTGATGTTAGATGCGTTGCTGCTTCTCTGCACAGGTTTTCGCTCTTAATGTCACGGAAACTGTAATATACCACTGCAAGAAAAACCACACAACTGTAACTCTCATGACACCGAGTAATTTGATGTTTCCATACAATTCATCACTGATGCCCCTTGTTACAATAACTTGATGGACATAGATGAGGTCTGATTAGCGATGGCGAATGTTTGTTAAAGCCAAAGGTATTACACCATGGTCATCGTACTATTGATAAGTGGGATCAGAGGCGTGTTTCCTTTATTGGTTAATCTCTGAGAATACTGAATAAACCCAGTATATGGTGGAAAAATTTGCTGTATGCGCGTTTAGGTTCCAAGCGGCATCCACTGGCGTTGCACGTCATACTGGAGGTCAGCGGGCCCATGCGGACTTGGAAAGCACGCTTGAATATATGGGTGGCGGCATCCGGTTTCGGATTTGCCTGTCACTGTAACCAGCCACAGGACGCCTGTGCCTACAGAGAGACCATGGGTGGCTTGCGCTGCACCACCCACAGCTCCATCCACACAGCCCATATCCAATGTAAACCCGAAGGAATAAGACTGGGAGGCATGTGGATGGGAGCCACGTTTCCTCAACGGAGCCGGCCCACGCTCCTGCACAGGCAAACATAAGCACGCTGTATTTGGGGAATCAAGTGCACACAAGGCGGTGGCTGGACCGTAGTCCGATCCACAATGAGTGCATGGAACCACTTTTCGAGCCTAGCATGACCACAAGGACCGTGCACCCGGTCCCCTCCAGCAACGACTAACTGTCTCCTGGAGCGAGTATGGACGAGGTAGTGGGTAGTAGACAGGTAGGCACCTTGTCAACAAGCACATCAAGCGCAGCCACATCTGGGATGTCAAACAACAGCCAATCTTTCGAAATGCCGATATCAAAGAAAAGATATCGAATAAAGTAAACGTATACGACGACATAAATACTCGCTAAATGAGCATATGGAGTAAATTGGTTATAAGCGAATCCGCGATAAGTACAAAATGTTCGAAAATTTGCCCCGTAATAAAGTTACGCAAGGAAACCACAATTTGCAGGAGTGACGTGTGCAAGTTGGGAGAAGATTATCAAGTACGCAGAACAAACGAAATAAAATGGAATGAATTTTATCCACATTAAAAAGACCTTGTTTAAGTGTAAGTCGGTTTAGCCCAACTGCAGTGAAGAAGCATCATGAATGCAACATCAGCCTCCGCATTGTGCACAACTTGAATATATATATATATATATATATATATATATAATAGTGGGTGGAAAGAGTTAGACACGTAGGAGTCATCTTGGCACCATTCATATCAAGCGTAGCCACACTGAGGATCTCAAATAATCAGCACATACTTTGGAGGAAAACAAAAGTTGACGCGGAATATACAGTATGATAACAGAAGTAAGCCAATGAAATAAAGTGAAATATTGTTCATGCAGGTTAAGAAGATCTGGCTTATGTGTAAGTCGATATAGCCCAACTGCGCGGAAGAAGCATGATGGATGCAGCATCAATCTCTGCATGAAGCCTCCCTCATGACATGAAGTGTGGTCCTTCCAGTCTCTGAGTGGCCTTCAGTTTGACATGCCCATGCTACAGGGTGGCTTGTGCGCGCTGGAACAAGTAGGGTTCATAGGCTACCGACAGGTATCTAGGCGGTGCTGATCACTCGTTGATGGAGCAACAGGCGCTACGTCACGCCTTGAGTTATCCCGGTAGCTACAACTGAATGAACTTTTCAGCCTATAAAGTAACTTGAGTACAGACTAGTATCCCTAAAACAAATGGTAACATGAGGATGGCGGTTAGCTGGTCTAAGAATATCGAAAAATATGCAGTTTTTGGGCGGCAAATTAACCATTGTGCGACAACGCCGTACCAAAGCGAAAAAATATCCATGGTTACGTCTGGCAACAGAGAAGCGCATATGAAGAAGATCCAAGTTTTGTATGTCTTAATAGGTGCTTTTGGTAAAAAGGTGGGCAAACAAAGGCAAACTACTCAAATGATTCAAGTTCTGGCATACTACAGAAGCTAAAACGATCAGAAAATGTTGCGCTACTGCAGATGGTATGATTTGGAGTATTACAAGTAGTCGGATACCAAAGTACAAACAGCATTTCTTCTTAAGAACAAAGTGCATTCATCAGAACGAACTGGACATGCGCGATAGAATTTACTGAAGGCAGCTGGATGTACCTATCGGAAGGCATCTGTGTATGAAACAGTGCCGTTCTATGAGAGAGAGCATTAAAGCTGCAATGATTCGGAATACAGAAAATTGTTAGACAAATTAGTTGCTGTGAGCGGTTATACCATGAGGCCGCCCCGAACCACGCAATGTAAAACCCAAAAGCTAATCGATATGATCAATGCTGCTTCCAGCCCCACATACAAATCCAAAATTTTGTGTGGAGATTTCAACCTATCACATGTTAACTGGATGCTGCCTACACTCAGAAACTCTACGGGATTGAGGAAATCATCTCATGTATTCACCTCAATGGCTGGACCCAGCATGTTAGAGATCAAACCAAAAGTGCCACTACCTTAGACCTTGTATTCACAATGGGAATATCTTACACTTATATATTCATTGATAATCCATTACGTGGCTGTGATCACAACACCGTGCTTTGCTATATGACTACTGATTCACTCAAACGACTAAGTAAAATGTTAAAACACATTCGCAACCTCCATCGTGTGGACTGGAACTCATTTAATGAACATAGCAGTACCATTAATTGGAATACATCATTCCTAACTCACCACCCTACTGTGGCTACAAATGAGTTTATTAGCAATATAGTCTTGGTGCGGATCTACTGGCACTTACTGTATGGAGAAATACCCATAAACATAGTGGTGAACTCAGGCTTCTGTATAAAGCCAAAACTAAACTAAAGGAACTTAAATCGTTATACCGCAGGAACAAAAGCTTAGCAACATTGTTACAAATACACGAGATTCTGCTACATTTACAACGTCTAACCCAAACCGCCAAAATCAAAGAAGAAAGTCGCGTATTTAGAAATCCTGAGAAAGTGCGTCCATTAATGCAACTACTCAAAAGAAGGAACCCTAAACCACATCAGGAAATTGAAACGTTGGCTCTAGACGATGGTTGAACAATGCACGACATCTGTATATGCGAGGCTATCAACTAAGTTTGCCTCCAGTTTTGTTCCCAATACTAAGCCACTTCATTCTCCACTTCCGAAAAGAACGACCGAACTATACTGCAATATCTCTGTGATGTTAAGTGAGGTGCAAATTGCCATGGCATCCATAAAACCATCAACTCGTCCAGGCCCAGATGGCATCTCCCCAAATGTTATTAAACTTGGAAGAAAAAACCTCGCTCTATTGTTATTAAACATCTTCACCCTTTCTCTCACTACCCGCTGCATTCCAATTCAATGGAAGCAATCCATTATAATGCCTAAGCGCAAGAGTGGTCTGAGAAATAAAGTGTTAAGCTACCGCCTAATAAATCACAAATCTTCTGTTTTCAAAGCCCTAGACAGAATAGTCAAGAAGAACATTGTTCAATATCTTACAAGACTGGATCTGATCAACCCATCACAGCATGGCTTTCTCACAAAAAGCTCCTGCGTTACCTGCCAGCTACAATTTCTCGATCACGTCTCGACTATGGTTGACAGAGAAATGACAATTATTATAATTCTGTTGGAGATGCAAAAGGCATTCGACGGCGTGTCGCACAAGTCACAGCTGTCTTCTCTAGAGTCATGTGGAATTGGAAATCCTTTGCTAAACTGGTTCGACTCATATCTAGACGGTCGAACTCAGGTAGTTAAAATCGGTCAGCAATATTCTCAACGGAAACAAATAACCAGCGGCGTCTTTCAGGGAAGTTTGCTCGGACCACTACTTTTCCTAATCTACGTAAACAACCTATGCGACCCGATCAAACATGGACACCTATTTCTGTTTGCGGAAGACATCAAACTGGTCTACTCATTTCATCCAGACAAACTGCAGATGTGTCTGAGAAATATGCATGAAGACCTTCCGCACTAAATATAGCTAGTGAACGTTTATTAATGAAATTCTGCGCAGTGTAATCCCAAATACTTGGGTACAGATGCCGCGTCCCAGAAGACTCTATCACACTTGCCGGAAACGTGATCCCAACGTCCGATTCAGTTCGGGACTTAGGAATTAGGTACTCAAAGTCTTTCAATTTCACCGAACATGTGCTTCATCAGGTTGCGAAAGCAAGGCAGTTATGCGGATATATGACCAGAACTTTCTCCCTACCTAAAGCACGACTTGAGGCATTTAAGAAAATGTACGACCGACTCTAGAATACTGTATATCGTTCACAGCCAAGTGAGAACGACTGACAGAACGGCACTGGAAAACGTCCAACAATCATTTACCAAGCTGGTCATGCGGCGCTGCTCAAACTCGAGTGATTATGGTCGCTGTCCAAAACTCCAACACAATCCTCTTTGGCAGAAACGCTTAGAGAACAACTTCGTTCTCTTCTACAACATTATAAACCAACGAATTTATGCAGACAGCACGGCACTTGAACTACGGAAGACTGCCGTCTACCCCACACGTAATGGCGGCTGCTTGATCCGCCCAAGGCTTTCAAGTCATAAAACTCGATCGAATTTCTTCTTAGTGAGATACACTGATCTGTGAAACAAATTACCCCTACAGATAACCATGAGTGCAAGCTATGTCACATTTCAAAATTCCCATCAGATGTTCCTCACTATATCAAATGTGTTGTAGATCTTTGACTCACAGCAAACTCTAGCAACATTGACA